CCCCAAAACCCCAAAACCCCAAAACCCCATGAATAAAAACGGAGATGAATTAGTAAGGAAATGATTATCGAATATTAGAGTTTAATATCTTGGCCGGATATACATTTATCTTGTTCATTTGGGAAATGATTGGGATAAATATCAAAGTTAGATTTCGTTAAGATAAGCTCAATACTTTTCCTTAATGAAGTTGAGCAAGTCAAAACTTGATACGATATATTTGTGGTCGACAAAGGCAAAGTTGTGTCTGGTGAACACTCTGCCGAGCTCATTAAGGGAAATGCCTGAAGATACATTTCTGTACTCCTTAATAACATTCTTTTCAATTTAATCATCTAGATTGCACTTTCTCTTAATAAGTCTGGTGGATAAGTGAGTTGAGGTGATGCATCCAATAATATCTCCTGACTCAGCACTCTTAACTGGGAACTGATCAAAGTTATACTTCTAGATTTCGTCAATAGCAGCCTTAACAGTCAAGTCAGAGCTTAAGAAATGAGCCTCATGGAGTTAAAGATCCTTGACTGTGAACTCTTAACCCCAGTCTTTATTATCGACTAGATCTGAAGTGTTCAACTTAATGCATTCATCCTCTGTAATGAATCCATTCTCATACATCCAATCATTGCTAATAAACTTAGTCATATAGTTTCTTATTGAATCTGGCAAGAGAACAACTACTCTCTTTCCTTCTCCAATATCTAGCTCCTTGATGATCTTCATTGCTGCGGCCATTGCTGTACCTGAAGAACCACCTACAAACATTCCTTCTTCTGCAATCAATCTTCTTGCATAGTAGAAAGCCTCTGGGTCATCAACTTTGACCCACTTGTCAGTATACTATCTATCAAGTACTCTTGGGAGGAAATCATAACCAATACCCTCAACTTTGTAGGAATGAATTCCACTTGCATTAAGCTCAGCTGGTTCAGCTAAAATTGATCCATCTGGATCAACTCCAATGATTTAGATATTTGGATCTAATTCCTTGAGTTTTCTTGAAATACCAGTCAAAGTACCACCAGTTCCAGCACTAACCACAACATAGTCTACCTTTCCACCGCATTAATCATAAATCTCTTAAGCTGTTTCATCATAATGAACTAATGGGTTAGCTGGGTTCTTGTACTAATCTAAGATGTGAGATCTCTCTAATTTTTTGTTGAGTTCAATGGCTACTCCAACATGAGATCCAACATTGTCGAATTGCATCTCGGTAGGGGTTCTAACGACTGTAGCTCCTAATGCCTTAAGTGCATCTTGCTTTTCTTGCGACATTTTTTCAGGAAGAGTAATGATCATTCTGTATCCCTTAACTGCTGCAGTCATTGCGAGGCCGATTCCAGTATTGCCACTAGTTGGCTCAATTAAGATATCTCCTTTCTGTAGTCTTCCCTCTAATTCAGCGTCAACAATCATTCTTCTTCCAATTCTATCCTTCACTGAGCCGCCTGGGTTTAAGAATTCACACTTAGCCACTAAAAATGATGAACTACTGATATTTACATAATTCGCACTTAATACCATCTTTTTTTGTGATGTTATTAATTCTGACTAAGGGAGTATTGCCTATAACATCTGTAATATCGTCCTTAATTTGCTTTGTTCTGTCTCTAACCTCGTGTCTATGAGGGTTTTCTGGGTCGTGCTAGCCTTTTGCTAGTGAATACTTGCAGACTTTATGTAGTCCTTCTCTCTCCATAACGTAGTCTATTTTAGGGTAGTCTTCCATCTCACCTGTAATCGTAAATTAAAACTATTTAGTATCTTAAAATTATAGTTTTAGATTTCAGGCTATTAGATTAGATTTGCCTTATTACACTAACTAATTTCATCAATATCTCATTTTCGTTCTTCGTAAACGTTTTATGAAATCATTGGGGTTTTGGGGTTTTGGGG